TTGCAGGTAGCGCCACCAAGTAGAGATGGAGCGAGAACTTTTGGGGGGAGTGAGAAGGGTGAGGAGGTGAGATGGAGTATGGCTTATGGATATGGAAGTGATAGTGTTGGGGTTGCGATTTAAGAGATGGAGAAAGTTTTGATTTGATATGGATTGTGTGAATATTAAATGGTTGGTTGTTTGGGAGGAAAGGAATGGGATGGGAATATGGAGGTTAGGTTGCTCGGTGGTATGGATGGATGGGATGGTACGGTCTCTTCGATCTGGATGATTCGAATGGTTTTCAAAGTTTCTTTTGTTGTTCGCAAAGGGGAAAAAGGGTCAGGATACTTCCTTTATGATACCACCTATTGTATTTTCGGCGTTGTGATTTAGATATACATACTCGGTAGTTTAGATATGATAATGAGGAGGTAGTCTATGTATACTTGATTTGATCAGTTATAGTTTATGTTGCATTAAATTCTATGAGACGTGATGTGATGGTTGAGTACAGAGAGAGAGGTAGCTTTCAAGTCTTGAAATAAAAAGTAGCTTTGTACAGAGTAAGTTGCTATTGAAGTTGAGTTTCTACGATCTGATCTGATCTCAAAATTAATTACAAGCACTTATTCATAAATCTAGATATTTAGTACATTGAATATATCCTCTATTCTCCGAGAATATCAATGATGACAAATAGCATGTTTTAATTCTAAGTTGAGAGATATTTTCCCTTTTAATAAACATTCTTATTTTTATCGAATATTTAGATATATATGTTACGATCGCATACTAGAGGATATCGATAGAGGTTAAACAATTAGAATAAGAAAGCTAAAGAGAGAAGAGATTCTTAAGAGATCTCTATATCTCTTATATAGTAATAATCGCTTAGTAGAAGCTAGTCTTGAATTGAGATATACGTAATAAGGAATTATAATGTCATGTATTGCTCGTTATAATATTGAATATTAAATTTCGATAAAAATAATATTTAATATGAGAAAAAGAGGTTTCGTCGAGTAGATAATCTTATTTGTATATTTAACTATTTATTTATCTGATTAAAGGAAATATATAAATGAGTATATGAAGTATCTAAGTGAATATATGAGGTATCTAAATGAATATATGAAGTATCTAAATGAATCGAAATTAAGATTAGTACTTCTTGTATACTATAAAAAGCGGCATCTAATCAGCTTAGATAGTCGATTATACTTATTTATATAGAAAAACTTGATTATATCGAACTGAAATTTTTGACCAATGAAATCCAATATAAAAAACAATAGCCCAAGCTTTTTAACCAAAATTTATATTTAATTTTAGTTTTAAATTCTAATATTTTCGAAAAAATATTATATAATAATAATCTTTCAAGTTGATTCATTCAAAATATAGCTTATTCAATTAAATTGACCATCAAAATTTATACCGGAATTTAATCAATTTAATCCGATATACCAATTTTCATCAAAATTCCAATATTCCCCTATAAATTTAGGAAAAAAATGGAAAAAAAGTCCGGTATAACCAAGTTTTTCTGTATTCTCTATCTAACCGAGCCATTCATTCATGATTCATCCAACCATCTAGTCCCATCCCATCACATCAGCACAAAGCACCAACCAACCACTAATGAAAGGACGAACGAAAGAAAAAAAAATAAGTGGAGAAGAAAATACTTTCTTGATCATTCGTTATTCATTCACTCCCTCATTTTCCAAGAACGCAAAAATAATCTACATTACTTCTTCTCCTCTTCCATCCATCTGCGAGGAAAAAAACATCACCAAAATAAGAACCTATCCAAATCCTAAAAACTGATGAGAGTGGGATTCGAACCCACGCCTATTACTAGACCAGGAGATTGTGATAATCGTATAATAATGATGACCTTAACCTGGCGCCTTAGACCAACTCGGCCATCTCACCTTTTGGGGGTTTTTGATGTTGTGGGGAGGGGTCATTAGGTATATATTGTTGTACAAAAAGTGAGAGTGGAAGGGAAAATTTGATGTGATGTGTTACGGAGGTACCCGCACCGCAACATGGATTATGAGATAAACCTAAGGCCTTGGTGTTGGGACCTACGAAAACAGCACTGTAGGGACAGTTGAATTAAAGGGTAACTAAAGATAGCGGTAACCGAATAAATAAGCAGTGATTAAAAGATAGGTACCTATCTTTTATTGGCACCTACCCCACAGTAGGCACAGGTTGCACAACGGTTACAGATTAGCTAGTAAGCACAGGTTAAATAAGCGGTAGCCTTACCAGGTCACGAGGACAAGTGTCACGTGAAGGAAAGTCGATTCGACTTGTCGACTCGAGTAGTCGAGTAGACTTGACGATTCGATCAAAGTACGAAGGTCTATATAAGGGAATGGGTTTCATTACAATGTAGAGCTTCGTGCTCAAGAACAATCATTAGTTTCATTACTATAGTTACGAGAATTGCAACCAGTTACAACCTTATTGAATTCCTACTTGAAGTCTAGTCTAAACCACCTCGAGAGATCTCTAGACACTTCCACGTGACCCTAGAGGCAGCTCCCGTAACATGATGGTGTGGTGTGGGTTTTGTGGGGATAGGATAGGTGGGCTGGCTGGCTAGGAAGTGAAGTGAAGTGACTAATTCGATTAGGAGATTTGGACTCTGGAGGGGCGGAGAAAGTTCTCATGTGGGAATTTGAGGGTTTGGGGGTTTGAGGAATGAATGAGGATTTGGGGTTTGTGATGTTTAGTGTTCGGCTTTTACTCGAGGTCGCGAAGGGGAGTCTTCATAATACGATGAAATTTTATATATGTATATCCTGTCCGAACCTCTCTTTCCTATTGGATTAATTACTTATTTATATAAGTTATGTAACTTATTCTTCAATCTCTAGATCTCTCATTTCGCTATTTAGTATCGATTCATTTATCAAATCACTTACTCTCATTTATTTCTAGATACCTCGAAATAATAAATCAAAATATAATCTTTTGTAGCCTTCGCAAAATACGATTCTGAAAGTTCTCAGTCGTGCGTGGTCGGTTGATAAGATTACGCGGGGCTTGAGTGAGATATCACATCGGTATTTATTGATTAACTTAGACAATCTTATTTTGAATAATTATTGATATGGATATAATCTATATGCTCAAGTTATATTGAATAATTAATAAGTATATATATATGTATGTATGTATGTATGTATATAAGATTTTAAGTAAGATTTAAAGGTTTCAAATTTGGGATAGTTCTTATATTCAAGGTGCTTCCCCCCCCCCTCTCTCGATGTATCTTTTATATCTATAACCAGAAACTCTCGTATACTTTTCTCTTTTTCATTCATAATATATAGAAATAGAGTAAAATTATACGCACTATACTGTATCGACTCTATAAGTTCACAATAAAGTCATCGTCTTGAGTAATACTATGACGGAAATGCCATATTCCTTCTCGAGTCTCCAGCTATACAATTTCGAGAATGCTATGTTACAGTCTTTGTTATTCAAGATATGAAGGAAGGACTTCTAGAACATCAATCAAGAGTATTCGCTATAGATTACTTTGATACCTACCAAACCAGATAGACATATACATACACGATTCCCCAACCTCAGGTCCTCGATTCATTATCCCTCCTTCCAAACCCCCTCGTCAACCTCCCTCGTCAAATCCCCTCATGAAATACCCCTCTTCAAACACCCCATCTCCTTTCTGAAATCAATAAATACCTCCACATCATCTCCATCAAAAAACCAAACAACAAACACTATATCTACATCTACCTATTTACATACCTACATACCAGCATACAAAACTCCTTACAACCCCTCAGCAGTACTTAAAATTCTAGATATCCCTCCTATCCCATCCCTTCCCTTCCATCCCATACAAAACACAAATCTGCACAACTCCGAAACCATGAACATCACAACCATCCATCCATCCATCTTCCTCCTTACAAGAAAGCTACTGCAATCTCCTCTTTCAAATCCGCAGATATTCAACCCCGCACCCCTTTCAAAACCACCATCACCATCACAACTCTATAATATCGTATAAAGAAAACTCCCTACTATCTATTTACCCCTACCTGTTTCTCAACTCTTGAAAGCAAACCGCACATTGCACAATCTATCGATCACTCACAATCCATCAATCACTCACGCTTCGCAAATCTCTCAAACCTAATCAAACATTCATAATCAATTCAACAAACACCCATTATCATTTCTGAAGAGGTTGAATGAGACGAGATAAAGCATGTAGAGCTCTTAGGCGTTTGGTTCATTTATGCAAGCCATCTATCTATTGATACGTCGCTGGTGACAAGCATATAGATTATAGATGCATACAACCTTCACACACTCCCCCTTCTTTTCCCTCCTCTAATAGGATATAAACAGCATCACACCACATCACACCACACAAGACCCAATAATCTCACAAAAAGTAACAATGATCTATCCATCCATCTATCTATACCACATCCCAAACTCAACCCCTCAATCCACCCTCCCATCAAACACACCTATTTTCTCCATAAACATGCACCACATACAGTACAATACAATACAATACAGCCTTCGCCAAACCCCTTCCTTTTCACACATTATATAAAGTCCTCTAAAATATATTTCTAAAAAGTGTAGTAGTAACGAAGCTAACCTCCCGCTTTCCTATTATTGATGTCATATCATGAGAGTGCATTTGATTCCCCTGAAGCATTTGATTCCCCTGAAATCCATCCTGTACACAAACGCCCACCCAGAAAGAACATGAAGATATCAATAAAATTATAAAAAAGCAAAAGAGGTGGGAATCGAGTGTCTGATCTTGAATCAGAAAAAATGATGCATGCATGTAACATGATCCCAAACTCCATCCCTAAGGATCCAATATACCATTGACTCCCCCTTGTATCTAATTTTGGAATAATCCATGGGTCCCCTCCAACCTGCCAATAACACCGAAATATCAAGGTCCAAACCCCAGAATAATATCATTGTCATTATACCTACTTCCTGAACAAATCTTTCAACTCTTCCAATCTCCTAATCGACGCTTCTTTCTTATCTAGCCTTCCCTTCTGGGAGTCCATACTCAAGCTCGCCAGCTTTTGCTTCTTGTCTTGAATTTGCAACATTTTCTCTTCGAAACTTTTATTCATAATGAATCGCACTGTCTGTACCTCTCTCTTCTGACCCAATCGATGCACACGATCAATAGCTTGAGCTTCAGCTGCAGGGTTGAATTGAGGTTCCATGACATAGACCTTATTAGCAGTGGTGAGATTGAGACCTAGGCCACCTGCAGCGATGGAAACCAGAATAACAACGATTGATGGATCATCGCGAAATTTTTCCATGGCCATCGAACGAGCGATACGAGTCATTTTACCATCGAGACGTGTGTAAGGAATATTATTCTCCTGCAAAGCGAGTTGGATAAGGTCAAGATGAGTTGTCCAACCAGAAAATACAACACTTTTGATAGGTGGCTCGTTCGGTCTTGCTTGTGATTCTCTTCTGGATGCCAGAAGATCATGGATTAAAGCTATTGTCTTGGTATGAGGTCCAGCATAATTTGATAAATCCTTGCCTGCTTTCGCCGATTCCTTGGTTCTCAATCGGGATTCTTCTTCCTTGTCTACTTCCTCTTGTTTGAGAGAAAAGAACATAGACGGAGAAATTTGTTGGTGACAAGTAGGACATCCGACTAAAGAGCCACCAAAAGCCATCTCTTCTAATTGAGATTTGTAAGCACCAATGCACAAGCCACAGATAATGTGGAAACATGGTGTCATGTAACCAATAACTTCCTCCTTAGATTCGCCATCAGAATCGACAACATCCTGAGAGCCAATCTTCCGATTGCATGTCAAACAACTATCTGTACCTGTATCTCTCATCAACTTATACATTTCATAAGCCTGTTTGGGTGTCATTCCATCGTGATCTTCGTATTCTTCACTATCAAGGTCGATAGCGGAGTCCTTGCTTAGACCGTTCATGATTTTCAAGTCTTCGGGACTCAACAAATCCTTGCCATGAGCGCAGACTTGACGAAGACGCAATATTGATTGCAAAATGTGATGGAAAGTTTTGCCTCCCAATGCACTTTCTCCCTGAGAAGTAATAACCTTAAGCCTATCTGTTGCATTCTTTTCAAAGATATCATAGACCATACGCTCTTCAACACTGAAATCTAGCCTAGCAATCTGATCATGACGCTTAGGAAGATCGATTTTATCCTTGAGTCGACGAAGAGTAATGCTGTCAACTAACAATCGAAGTTTGGGAATGATTTCAGGATCGCAAATCTTGAAAGGGGATAGTATATGTTGGGCAAAGCCACTTCCGTTAAATGGTTTGACGCGAAGGAAATTCATCAAAGCACCTAAGTCTTCAAGTCGATTCTGAACTGGTGTACCTGTGCATGCCCATCGACGCTGTGCTGAAAGCCTACAAATAGCCTTGAATTGCAAAGTTGATTGTTCCCGAATCATATGAGCTTCATCGAGTACAATTCGGAACCAATTCATCTCCTCGAGAGGATATTTACCATCTTTCTTTTTGTTCCTGTTGTTGCATTCACTAGCGACAGAACCATATGTAGTAATGACCATATCATACTCTGATAATTTCGTAACATCCTTGATGCGATTAGCGCCATGATAGATGTAATACTTCAAAGCATCGGGTTTAATATGTGCCTTGATCTGATCTTCCCAATTGGAAATGACACTGAGCGGAGCAACTAAAAGGGTAGTTTTGCAGTTCAAAGCGAGAGTTGCGGGTTCGAACTTGGGCTGAGCGGCAGCCTTGCCTGATTTAAGAACTGGCTGCTCTCTCTGATCAGATTTTGATGGTCTTTGCTTCGCCCAGTCTCTCGAATCATCCAGCGTTGTAGCTACCAAGGAGAGAATGCTGAGAGTTTTGCCAAGGCCCATCATATCGGCAAGAATTCCACCAAGTACCTGCGGTGGACTTTTGCGTTCCTCATCACCGGTGATAACATTATAATATATCCTCTGCCCATTGTTCCCATGTCTAAGTTTCCACAGATCGCATTTGTCATTTATCTCATAATTTCGCTCCTTTTCTCTATTTATCATGAAGTAGAGACCCTGTTTCTGATGTTTGAGTAGCTCCGTAGTAATTAAAGAACTTGGCTCCATCTCTGGTAAATTCTCAGATCTCGGCAATGAGTCGAAAACTCCCAAAACATCATTTCGGATTTCTTCTGTTGTCCGAGCAGGGGCCTGAGAACGAGATGCGTAAGACGAGTATGAATTAGATGTCGGCTGTAAGGCCCTCGAAGGCTTCTCTATAGCATGAGGATTGTGCAACGGAATGCCGGCTTCTACAGAAAGTGGGGTTCGTAACCACAATTGCTTGTGAGAGAGATGTCGACCAATTTGAAGAGCGTGCTTTTTTGGTCCATAAAGATTTAAATCCAAATTATAACGAACAGAGCATGGGGAACCCACTGGCTGATCATCCGGCGCCTTTCTTCTTGTAAGAATACGGGCAGCTGTTCTGACACCCATTTTTGGCGAGTCGAGAATGGGTGCCAGTCCAATTGCGGTATTCACATCGACGCAGCCAATAATTTCGCGAGTACAATCGAGAGCGTGAATATTATTTGTCTTATCCCCTTCCTTTCTTCTCAAAACAATCTTTATCTGCGGCCAGTTTTCGGGTATAAGTGATTGGGCGCCAGGTTTTGGGGTTGGTACTCGATGAGCGTTGAGTTGAGATCCTTCAATACGTCCATAGCAAACTTCCCTATCCTGCTCATTCCCGACAACTACAACATCATCATCGTCCACTAGCGATAAGTCGAGTACTTGTTTTGTACAACCATCCTTCGAGCCTTCAACCCTCCTACTTTTCACATATTGTCCGTATGCACCTCCACTAGAACTTCCATTAAATTGTGCTCTGCTACCCTCCCCGGTCAAGTCTTCTACTCTGCGGCGTTTTTGAGGTACCATGTCGCGATCTGTAACATTATGCATTCGATCCACAAAACTTCCCATGCCCGGCATCTGCCCACTTGGGTTCGCGTATGATGCAAAGCCATTATGACCATTCGAGTTCGAGTTCACGTTATAATTCGGGTTCGAGGGAGGTGACGGCGTATACGATCCGCCGGGAGTGTCGAACTGAAATAGAGGCTGGGGAACTGGTGTAGTTTTTGGTTGGGGATGAGGGGATAAACTGGGCGAGGGTCGTGAGTTTTGATTAATGCTTCGAGGATTTAGCAATTGCGCGGGACTCCAATTTTGGGCATTTGTGGCATGACCGTTCGAAAGTGGTATACCAGGATTGTTCTCATGTTGATTCGGTCTCGATCCTGGAGGATTTTGGCCTTGTGCGACAGAGAAATTGTAAGTAACAGGTTTATCAAAATCGGTAGGGTAATTTGGGCGTAGGTCTGAACTTCCAGATAGTTTGCCTTGGTGTGTATGTAGGGACTCTCCGTTTGCGAGGATTGGGAAATTACCAGAGAAGTTGTTATTCATTGAGGCCATAATTCTCCTTTATGGTAGATAACCTTGAATACTCGTCACGGTCGCATGCATTAAGTTGTGTGTCGTATGTACTGTGTGTGTGTGTGTGTGTGTATGTATGTGTATGGTTAAGTTGTGGTTGTAATGGTAGGTAGTTGTAGTAATCGAGCCGATAAATTCATAGGAGGGGCAATATTTATCACTAGGGAGGATTGTGCAAAAGTAAGTAGGAAAAAGGAAAAGTCGCCGAAACTAAAATCATCGGAATGTGATCATTCTGTTTGGTCTTCGTGTATTCACTATAAGTTTTGTGACTTTCGTAAAATGTGTGAATGAGTAATGAATTTATTATATAGGTAAAAGAACGAAGGAGAGCAGATGTATGGATATGTACGGAGTAGGGATGTGGGAGAGAGAGGAGGCACAGCGATAGAAAATTTCCGTAAGTCTTTAGGTACAAAGCAATTAGTAAGCAACGATATTATCTCATTTTCAATACCTAGGTAGGTTCTTCGAGTTGTTCGCCTAGATAGGTATGTAGGTAGATCTTGCATACGATATAGATATCTATTACAAAGACAGATAGATATCTAGCTATCTTTCAATCATATAAGAGTTCACTTATAATAAAGCAGGTTCGAGATGTTTCGGCCGCTACTTAGGTACATTCGATCACCTTCATTCATAGCCCTTAGCTCGCACTAATGACTGTTCACGTGCATCAAATCCTTACACATCGCAATCTCCCATTCCCATGCCCATTCATGTTCCCATTTTCGAGTCACCATCGCCATCAAAAGAGGGACTAACCATATTTGTAATCGAGCTATTTTTATTATCGAGTATCCGCAAAACCCCCCCCCCCATTTCTTCGGCAGATCACATGATTTCTCTAGCCTCCAATGGCTTAGTCGCCTATTTCCCATTTAGTAAAAGCGAGTGTCCCTTTGCTTAGAACTGTATCAACTTCAAATTCAAATTATTAGAAACTACTAGACATACTAACAGATTTGTCACTCTCACCGAATTAGTTACAATGACATAAAGATTATCATTCTAGCTCAACTCCGAACTCCTCATGGACCTAACATGTTACGGAACACTCGCTTAGGACACTCGCTTTCACTAACTGGGAACCAGTCGGCGTTAACAAAAGCCGACTAGGACGTGAAGGTTTGATGAGACAAAACGTGAGATGATCCAAAGTCTTAGAAGTCAGGAATGGATAAGTAGTCTTGGTATTGAAAAGGTCGGATTTTAATAATAGTGGCGGATCGCGTTTGTAACCTCAGAACCTCAATGATACCTTTCTGAAAATTCATTGCCAAATTCTCTTTCAAATCGCGATGAGCTGAATTCGATACCTGTTCTTTCCCCTGGAGTCAAATTCGAAAAGCAATCATCCTTTATATACTTACTAAGTTCCGTACTTGAAGAGCAAGATATGAGTAGCTTAAAGGTCGCTCGCAAACCGGTCGCCTCTCGAAGCTCTAAACAATAATCCACCAACGATTCCATATCTTTGAAATGAAGGTCACGATGATCGCAGTATAAATCAATGCCATCAATGATAACAAACAAGGTTACTTCTCTATTCAAATGCTGCACGAGAGTCTTGAAAAGCCACCGGAGCGCGTCAAGATTGTTTGCCTTAATCTGCTTGATGTTATCAAGACTTGGGAATTCCAAATCGAACTCGTTTTGTGAAAGTAATTGCGCGAGGAAGCTCTTGATCATTGAAATGCCTCCGGATTAGGGGTCGTAAGATCGTGTATGAGATCCGCAGAAGAAAAGACGGTATGGAGGCGGCCCTTACTGATCAGATTCTTGATTAACAGTGAGCAGAAAAAAGTGAGAGGAGATGTCGGCTCAGACGATCCATTCCCATGGATGAGAAGCTCTCTAGATACTGGGTTGACTAGCCATTGTCTAAACTGTGAAGATTTTGTGATAAGTTCGGGTAACTCCTGGCCTGCTAGTTCAAACCGCTTCTTGGATCTGAAGGCGTGCGCTAGATCTTGGTCGGTCTGTTCAATATAACTTTCGACCCACCACTTATTGGTGGTATATCGATCAGCCTTTGCAAGTTTCCTTGCGAGATATGGGGCTCTTGGGGCACTGGCATACCTTGTTGGGGAGGTGGTGTGATAGCACAAAAGAAATTATTTCCTACTCGAAGATACATGTTTTTGTCTAGAATAGGTCAGGTTTCTTTAGATGGATATTAATACCACAACAAGGTCCCCTACACCTCAAAGCTTCTTGGCCATATCTTTGTTATAGATTATGTTCGAAGTTTAGGAGCATTTCCTGGAATATTGCAGGTAGCTCGGGGGCTTTATCGTGAACTTTAATGTTTCGGGTCAGAACAGAGGGTTGAGTTTGATTTATAAAGCTTGTTAGGGGGGCCATACCTTATTAAATACCATTATTTTCATCAATCACGCCAGTGTGTGTCTCGTAATTTTCTTTGAAACTGGCTCTTTCGGCTTCAAGATGAAATTGCTTTTCAAACGTGGTAATATCTTTGAGACTCGTGATTGATTTTTTGTAATCTTCGCCATTCCAAAGTGCCTCCGATACTTTAAAGGCTGTGTAACTTGTCACATTAGTCACAATGATTGGGAGGTGACGAGGATAGAGAATTTAGTCACTCTACCTGTGTGTTGGAGATAGTAACTGATCACCTCTTCAATTGCTTTCAAGATGGCAACTCCCAAGGACATAGCTGCCTTCGATACTCCCGGGAATCCATAGTAGATTGAAAAGTAATAAGTCTCAATACCCTCGAAAGTGTCTTGGAAACTATCCAATGATTTAAAGAGCTCTTCTCGAACAGTGTTGGATGACTCGCATATACATTCACTCAGATGAAATTGATGTACATTTACGCCAGCAGAAATCTGAGCATGCCCTCCCTTCCCCATCGCACCCACTCCTATCCCGATGAACAAACCACGAGTAAACAATCAAACCTCCATTACACTCAAAGCAACAAACGGAGACTACCAAAACAAAAGGATTTTCAAATTAACCCGATGTAAAAAAAGCTCACAACACGTAAGAATTCTCAATAACCAAACAAAATACATTACTTCAAAGCCATTCAAAAGCAGCAGCTAGCTTATACATGTATTGCTATCTGATGCAGCATTATAAACTAAATAACGATTCCACCTCTTCACTTTATATCAAATGAGAAGCGAATTAAGATTAGATCGTAGAGCATCTACCTATCATCTACTTACCTACTACATTCTATATACTTACTTCCTACCTACTTCCTGCCTCCTACATCCATTACACCACCAACAGCGCATCAACAAGCTATCCTCATTACTCCTTTCCTTTTTTCTTTCCCCTAAGTTCCCTTCTACACACACACATCACCTTAAGAATCAAACACCTCTAGTACCTACCTCAGAAGTTCCCAGATACCTACCCCTAAAATCCTTCCACTCCATTACAACCCCAACAAACTCACCAACTCACCAACTCAAAATATACCTCCCTTCCCCCCCAAGAAACACGTTCACATGACTCCAGATATCCCATACGAATCCCCACTGCATATCCAATCGAGGAGAAATACGAACAAAGATTGTCGCTTAGCACTACTTACTATTTACTATTTACTACTTAGTAATTAGTAAGATCCATCCCACCACTCAGTGGTGAACCCATTTTTCATTTCCGCCAGCCCAATAAGCTTCCGCGTTTATCCAATAGCAATAATAACAATAATCGAGTGTCAATCACCATAAATCATAATCAATCAAGTAAGAATTTCCAATAAAACTTCCGATACCTAGGTCCACGGGTAGCCACAATTTTTCGAGAAGGGGAGAGAAAAGGCAAAAAAGAACAAGACAATAATCTCTACGTTCTAAATATATTTCATTTATTGACGCAAACAGCATGAACAACCAAATTCATAAAAAAGCATGCTACCCCCCAAGTCCCATATGATTACTACTGTCCCGAAGATATCTACGGTATCTCGAGACTATTTTGACGCCCATTTGCCAAAAGAAAAACGAAAAAAATATGCGCCGCATTCCGAGAGATAATATACATATTCGTACTCATTTATTCCTTCGCGATCATCATTCCCTTTCCCCATTAACACCATGTAAAGACGGGGTTTTTGCTTTTGACCGTTTCAAGTCTTTCTACTATGACCTTTCTTTGATTCCCCTCCATCCCTTCGGCGGCTGCATATCCCAAGTCTCCTTCGAGATCATCACCATCATATAATGTTTGAACAGCTCCACGACTCCTCGAGCTAAATGAGAATCTTCTCGCTTCAAAATTATTGCCGCTTGGTGACCTTGCAGGCCCATCATAACTCATACGATTTCTAGAATGCTGAAGGTGTGGTCGATCCGAGAACCTCACTCCATCCTTGGAATTATTATCTCGAGAGAATCCTGTATTTGCAAATGTTGGTTGAGAAGACTCGAGGTCAGGGGAAGGCTCTTCACTATATCGTGGACTAGCTAATTCGAATCGGTTTGGATTTGGTAATTCTGTAGATGGACTTGCAAGTCCAAGAAGATCTGGTTGCGGTGCTGGCGCATTGGCGGCACTAATATCCATTTCTTCATCAAGGCTATTGCGAGCCTCATTACGTCTTCGCATTTCTGCAGAAGGCGCCCTCATAGGAACCGCAACAGGTATATCAACAAGATCATCCCAAACACAAACTCTTGGTCTTCGAGTCAATTCTAAAGGACCATGGTCTACCGTTTTGAGGGTTTCGACAACATTCCAAGCTTGCCCTTTCATGACAGCAATTTGTCTAGCAAACATGCGTTCTTGAAAATCTGCATCTTGACTGAAGACTTTTCTTAACTCTAGCTGAGTCTCGCTCCACCATTGCTTTGAAGTCAGCAAGGGAAGAAAATGATCCCGAGTTTTTTGAGAAAATGGTTGTCCAATCAATGATACAGGTAAGAACAACCATCCAAAGGGAAAACTTCGCCAAGCATCAGGATGCTTCCAAGGCCACGATAAACTATTATCAATCGCACCAATAGATATGGTTGGTGCTGTCATTCTAGACGGTGTAGCGGATCTACTTGTAGCTTCCATAGGCTCTTGACTACGGTAGGGATATGCCGGTAGATGAGACATATTGATGTTCTCAGAGCTAGAAACTACTCGTGGTGCGTGTTCTGAGTCTGGATTGGTCCTCAATTGTGGAGGGTCTGAAACGATAGAAACGCCCTGATTTTCCCAGTCGATTTTGATCATCCAATTATCAAGGCCTCTGTCCGTATTTCGCATTATATAATCCAATATTACCAGTTTCTCCAACTCCTCTCGAAATGATTGTTGTAACGCATCTGTCCAAGCAAAACGTCGATTTTGATTACCATCTCCAGATCCGGTAGGACTGCTAGCCCCTGCCCCTTCATTACCCTCGTCTGACTTTGATGAACCTGGACGGCAAGTCTCTTTCCACCCTCTTTTGTTCCTGTGTGTATCGTTCAACCTAAATGCTCCATTTGCATGATCTGGCCAAGGATGTTCACGGAGGAAGATATTCGCGTCCTTGAAACCTTTGAGAAAGACTTGGAAACTGCCAACCTTTGGAGGTAGAGGCTTTTTACTCCTGTAAAACTTCCTTCGATCCCAAAAATCATAATGGAAAGACTTCGAAGATAAGTGAACTATGTCGGTGTAGGGCACAAGGTGAGTTCGTAATCTACAGTCAAGTGTGTATGCTGCAGCTTCGGAGACATAACTCAAATTGGGGATTAGACACGCTCTGCCAAAGAAGCATGGAAATAAGTTGCGATGGATCCATTTATTCCATTTCGGGTTTCCTGCGGCATACGGTTCCTCATCTTTCGGTTTGAACACACCGACTACTTTTCCATCACTATTTCGAGCAAAATAACTTCCGGAACTACCCTGAGATATCATTTTCGGATGCATACCCTGCTCAATGGCAATTCGAACACTTTCAACAACCTCCTCGAATTCCGACTTCGTCATTCGTCCATGATCGGGCTCTGATGCCAAAGTATCAGCAGTAAGAGGTCGCATGCCTTCCGGTGCTTGAAATACTGAATGCTGGATTTCCAGTTTTTCCTCCTGATGTGATTTCCCTTTTGCTTTATTGATTTTAAACTTGGATGCTATCTCGTCGGCCCAACGTTCCAATCTAGCATTTATAGCTTTGATGTCCACACCGGAGGCATTGCTTCCCATACGACTTCGCCTTCTCGTATGTCCAAACTTTCGATTATTCGTCGGTGAACTGTATCCATCTGTATACATTCCACCATGCGGTCGAGGTTGTGAAATAGAGGCATATCGTGGTGCAGTTGCTGGTTGTAAGGAAGTATGGCTGGCAGCGAGGGGGTCCTCATCTTCGTCATCGCTGAACTCTTCGGCTTGGGCAATTTGGGCATAACCCGTGGTAGCTGGACGAAATCTTGGCATATTAAGTATGGTATTTAATTCGTATTGAAGTCGCCATGAAGTAGAATTATTTATTTATCGTTGTGAGGCATTTCCAGGAGCGGTGGAACTAATAAGCATGTTACAAGCTCTAGATTCACAACATGCCAGGTAGTCACCGTGGCCCCGGGTCGCGTCACTTATCAACGTCCTTATCCAATCAAAAGGGTGGAGAACACAAGGCTGAAAGAATTTATCCGCAAAGATATCAAATCATGAAGAAACACGACGATTGGTGAAACTTGTGTCAATTGATATCCAGTACACTAGCAGGTATAATTCTTTGAATATTCGACGTCAAATCGAGTCAAATGAATACAAAACCATAACATCAATCCAGACATTGTAACGATGATTGAGTTGAGTTGATTTCTACAGTATTGAGGCTTTCAGAATTTGACATCTTCTCGCACAATTGAGACATTGGCCATAGCCCTTACGATTCTGCCATAACCTCCTTTACTATCTTTGCAACCTCCCCCTTTTCTACATTCTTTTCTCCCAATACTTCAGGAGCAAATACTCTTTTCAATACATCTCCCATTTGCATCTTTGCTCCCTCAGCCCTCATTCCATTGACAAGATCCTTGACTGTGTTTCTGATCTCTTCCTCACCAACTGTCTCAACACCACTAGCATATTCTTCCAAGACCTTCAATTGTTGTTCTTCCTTCTCGACGAGATCTTCTCTACCTGCTGCCTTGAACTCTTCACTTGCAGCTCGACTGGCATTGGCAGTTTTTCGGAGGAGAGCTAACATTTGCATATCGGTATTGATAGGCGAGGAAGTTTTGGAGGCGTTGAGTGTTTGACTGAGGAGTGATCGAAGGACTGAGAGTCGATTGCTATCTTTATTTCTCATGGCAGTCTTCATATCATTCCTATTACCAAACTGATATTAGTACAATTGCTCTCCAAAGATAACAATAACGAACCATATGTCGTGTGTACTGACCTGATCTTCAAGAGCATAGGCGGAGGGGTACTGGCAGAGCTTGCATAGCAGCGGCAGTAAATCCTCGAAGCTCTAGCAGCTGGTCGTGAAAACATTGTCGTTATGGGTGAGGGGATTTTGAGGATTTAAAGAATTGATATAGAGAATTGACAAAAAGTGATTGCCGTCTGAAAATTGAAGGTATTTTGTATTTTTGATTCAAGTCCGCTCACTGTCTACGAAGAAAACGAGGCTCGCCAAATTTATTTTCCCCGAATGCTGCGCTGCCTCATACATCATCACATAACACAACATTTGAATGACCGGAACACCCACGTCAATTGGATAGCACGACAGATATTAGTTACTTTGATACAAATATATTCGGAATTATACCTGTCTATCCAGTATGTTACCATAGATGTGAATATACCTTGAGTGCATACAATTTCGTGCGGATTAGATCAGCGCAAACATAAATAAAGCAAAGCATGCACCAAAACAAGTTCTCTCATCAAAGTCCCCTTTTGGGTGATCGTCAATTTCCCCGCATCTACTCATCACCTATGAAGAGGGAAGATTGAACACTTATTGTAGTTATTGTTTTTGTATATCTATTCGTACCTATCATGGTATTCTTTCAAAACAAACAAGGAATCATCATATTTCGTTTGCTTATGTCTAATTCATTCTCAACTCAATATGTAAAATCGATTCCTTGCATGAACCCGCTTCTTCAAGATTCAACGTCTGACTACTTCAACACTAGAGCTCTCTCTGCTCTACACACTTGATCCTATCACCATACATTCATATGTCTCTTGATACCGTGCCACTAGAAAATCAAAATTGAACCCCTAACATTTTGACGTTCGCTGGCACCATTCACCATCAACTCATCGTTCAGCCTCTGACCTCTGAAAACTCATAAAGAGACGAACTATCACTCTTTGTGTACAATCTCCCATGTACACTATCTCTTCGAGTATTACTCAAGGATTAAACTAACACAAGATCATAGCTAATTGACTACCCAACATCAATCACAACAAACGACTTCACCTCCCAAACTCGAGTCGTGCAAATTGGATCAACAGAACTTTGTTGAGACAAACAAATTCCTTAAACACATACCAATCCTCCAACACCATCGTGAACAATGACACTTATTGACCCTCCTCCCGCAACCCACCCACCTTCCTACGAACCCTCTCCGCACCGTGGTCGTAAACGTCGCCGCTCATCTGCTGCCTCTCCACCCCCTATCATAACCAGTACATCCACAAATTTCCGAGGTCGAGTTCGTCATCGATCACCTCAGACATCACATTTAACAACCTCCTCACCATTACCATCCTCACCCCTCAACCCCAAATCAACAAACGCAAATACAAACACAACCATAACATCCCTTACAGCCACAGCCCCTAGAATCAAATACCAAAAAACTCACGCTACGGCTGCAACAACGACAACGACAACAACTCCCTCCCCATCACCATCTCTCCTTCTTTTCTCCCCGCGCTCCAAAACCCGGAGAGGTCAATCGCCCTCCCGTTCTCGAAGCAAGGGCCAATCAGTCGATAAAGAAGTTCCAAGAAGAAGACAGAGAACAAGAAGTAGGAGTCGATCTCATAAGGTTGCGAATGATGAGAAAGATAGTAGCAAGGGAAAAATGAAAGTTTTATCCGGGACAGAAAGAGCTTGAGATATACGAGTAGGAAACTTGGTGTTTTTCATTGATTTTGTTCGCGGAATGATACCCAACCACCTGGAATTGTCTAACAGAGAGAGGATGATGGATTCGATGTGGCGGTTCATCGACTGAAGACTTGAGAAGAATTCTCACTTGAGACCTCTTTGAACGAAACGCCCTGGAGTATCTGAAGATTGCCAGGGATTGAATTGGATTGGATGTGCTATTCGGGTATCAAGAATTCAAAAGTTCTATTCCAATATGAGCTAGGGAGCAAGCATGTAGGCACTGGGCAGATAAGAGTTAGGCCTGCATGCATGTATATTTTTTCCTTTTCGAATGTAACAATGACTAGTTCGCTCCATGAACAATAAATACCAAGAGCAATTATTCATCTTGATTTGCACGCTATATCTATGATATTCCCCAGCCGAGTCCTCTCTCACACTTATACTTTATCCTTAATTCCCATTCCACACAAACAAAACCCCAACCCAACCCAAAATTCCCATCACCAAACCCCACCCATCAATGGCATCCACTCCACTTCCAACAAAATCCAAACAACTCCACTCCACTCCATCCCATCCCATCCCGCCCGTCACACAATCCTCCATCACAAAATATCTAGATATATCCCAATTTCTCTTCCCGCACCATCAAACAGTAACATCAAGCCTCGGTGGCACAATTGGTTAGCGCGTGGGCCTTTTAAGCCCAAGGTTGAGGGTTCGAGCCCCTCCCGAGGCGAAGTTTTTTTTCCAATTTTTTTTTATATCTATCATTCCATCCCATCTCATCTCTGTCTCTCTCTATTATTTTAGATTCTAGATAAGATACACTTGCTAGCTACTCTGAATATATATGGTATGCATAGATAGTTAATGAAAAGAATGAATGATTGAATTTTTGCTAATTTTTAATTTTTGAAGAATTTAGAATGAAGCGCGAGGAAACGAAGGAGTGGATTCTTCATGGATCGATGGTCTTGAGATTGGCCTGGTGGAGTTGTTGGATGAGTTGAGTGGGTTTTTGAGGGAGAGGATGATGGAAGATCCCTACCGTTGTTGTGGTTGCTGTTGTATTGACACTAACATTCGCAAGCTCAAATCGTGTCATCGGGCAAATGTGAGATTGTTAGAGTCTTTCGGTGGCACAAGGGTATTACTGGAAATCTGGCAGTTGGTTTCAATACAGATCATATATCAGGTGAAAGTTCGAAATCATTCAAAAGACTTCTCAATTTGGAAACACTTCAGTTCGGCAGTGGAATGAATTCACATTTTCACATCTAGATTCACCAATTCATAGGGTACCATTATTAAATGTCATAAATCATGTTTTTGAAATCCTGCAATTCGCCATGCTGCTAAATACATGAAGACTCGGAATGGAAAACAGAAGCTCAGGAAATGTGATAAGGCTCATCTGTCTATCACATGGCGTGCGGCTAGCTTTTTATACCAAATTGGCTATCAAGCCGAAGTGGTCAAGGAGCATTCGCTCAGAAAATCATGAAAGCGCCGGAGCTTGAGATAATCTCGATGTGAAACGTGCATGGGAATATGGAAAGGACGGTATCTTTTATTTTGGAAATTCGTTCTTTATAGCTTGTCATAGTACTATTGAAATGATTAGTCAGATGTTTTTTGCATGGGGTTATGATATAGTGTAAACTTACGTTCTCGTAACCTGGAACCTCAACCTTGATACCCTTACGTTTACGGAGCTCTTGGACGATTTGTCCAGTCTTGGAGGTTGGGTCAATTGGTGATCCACCTGGAAGAATTTGCCAATGATCGAAGATAGATTGTGGGAAAGCTTGACCAGAGGTGTGGGAACGGAGATCAGCGTTGAATCCGAAAGATTCACCGACTGGCAAGTATGCCTTAATGGTGAAAAGAGGGGTTCCTGGACGTTGCTCCTCAGCGAAGACGTGACCTCTTCTTCTGGTGAGAACACCGTAAACTCCACCCATGGCAGATTCTGGTACTTGAATCTCGACCAAGAAGACTGGCTCGAGGAGACCTGGCTCAGCCAAGAGGGTAGAAGCGTACAAGACACGACGGGTAGTTGGCATGACTTGTCCGGAACCACGATGGATAGCATCAGCGTGGAGGGTAACATCCATGATGTTGAATCTGCAAGATCTCATTGGCTCTTCAGCAATTGGACCTTCTCTTGAAGCCCATTGGAAACCGGAGACAACAGAATCCTTGATTTCGTTCAAGTATTGAACAGCCTTGGTTTGATCAACCAACAAGTTGGCGCCGTTGGTATCTGGACCGAAACACCAAATCTTACGGGCATCAGTGACATCCCATCCGTGCTCATCGGCCAAGATACGGGCACGAGCCTTGAAATCATCACGGGGACCGATCTTTCCGGCTTCAATCTCCTTGGAAACCTCCTCGTCGAGAGGCTCAGCGATCATGTAAAGACGGTTGTGCTTGTTAGGGGATTTGGAAAGAGCAGTCATGCTGGACTTGCCAGTGACGGTCTCACGGTATGGAACGACAGGGTCAGAGATACGGAGAGGAACACCAGCGTGGTCCTCCTCGAGATCCTTTAAGCAAATTTCCAAATGCAACTCACCGGCACCAGCAACAACGTGCTCACCGGATTCGGAGATGAAAGTTAAAACACAAGGATCGGACTTGGAGAGACGCTTGAGACCTTCGACAAGCTTGGGGAGATCTTGAGCGTTCTTGACCTCGACTGAACGTTGGACGACAGGGGAGACGGAGAACTTCATGACCTTCAAGTTGTGAGCGGTATCACTGGTGGTGAGGGTACCAGACTTCAACAAGAATTGATCGATACCGACCAATCCGAGAATGTTACCTGCTGGAACATCATCGATAGGATCGACCTTACCACCCATCATGAGAACGACACGTTGGATGGCCTTGATGAACAAATCATCCTTCTTACCAGGGGTGTAGTTAGGACCCTGGATACGGACCTTCAAACCGGAACGGACGGTACCAGCGAAGACACGACCGAAAGCGTAGAAACGTCCCTTATCAGATGTTGGTACCATCTTGGAGACGTACAACATAAGAGGAGCCTTAGGGTCACAGTCACGGATACCAATGCAGGCCTCATCATCTGGAGGACCCTCGTACAAGGTCTCAGCGCGATACTTTTGGGCGGTGACTGGGGATGGGAGATGGAGAATCAACATCTCCAAAAGAGCATCAGCAGCTGGCAAGAAAGTACGCATAACAACCTTAAGAAGTTGCTTGCCCTCCTTGTCCTTGTCATCTGGAGAAAGCTTGATGTTAAGCTTCTCGAGGAGAGTTGGGATCTCGTCCTTCTTGAAGTTCATCACAGCAGCGAAGATACGGAAAATTGGGTCGAGAATGAACTGGTTGAAAGCACGCTCCAACTCTTTACCCTCGTGAGAAGACTTGGTGGTCCACTTCTTGGTGTGTGGGTTGAAGTAGTTGTCACCCCAGAGACGCTCCATCATCTTATTTCTGTCAACACCGAATTTCTTGGCGTATCTTTGAGCGAATTGTCTGATGGTGAAAGCCCATCCGTGGAGACCGGAACCGAAAGCAACCGTTCCCTTACCTGGGTAAACTTGGACATCGCCCAAAGTCTTGTCGAAGTAGGTAGAGATAACGACGTTGACAGACTCGATGGTTCTCGAGAAAGATTGGTAAAGATCTTCCTTGGAGACTTGCAACTCGAGGAGAGCACGATCGACCTTGTTGATGATAACAACAGGCTTAATACGCTCACCAAGAGCTTGACGGAGGACGGTCTCAGTTTGAACACAGACACCTTCAATGGTATCGACGACAACGAGAGCACCATCGGTGACACGGAGAGCAGCAGTAACTTCAGAGGAGAAATCAACGTGACCAGGTGAATCGATCAAGTTGATCAAGAAATCTCTTCCGTCGGTCTTTTGGCCAACAATGTCCTTCAAGTCGTCATCGTCTGGGAGGTTACCGTAGAGGGAGATGGCAGTGGACTTGATAGTAATACCACGCTCTTGTTCATCGGCACGGGTATCGGTAGCTCTGGCATCACCAGCCTTTGCGGCGGAGATAATACCAGCCTTGGAGAGCAAGGAATCGGTAAGGGTAGATTTTCCGTGGTCGACGTGGGCAATGACGGACATGTTACGAACGTTCGTAGCCTTGTCCATCAATTGGCGGACCTCCTCAACGGTGAAGCTAGTAAAAGAAAAGTCGTTAGCAAATAGTTCATTGTCAATACCATCAAGCTTATCTCCGAATCCTTCATCTCGAGCTCATCATTTCAAGATCCTTAATCCACCAAAACAGGAAGATTAAAGATACGTGTGAGGATTTGCGATTCAATAGTCTGATCTTTGTATCTGCCACAGATGGTATGATGTTAAGAGAGAGAGAAAATAGGCACTTACTTAACCATGTTGGCGGTGGTGCTTCGAGAAGCTGGTTAAAGAAGATTTATTGTTTTGACGTTCGACACACGCTCGAACGAATAGATACTTGAGTGGTTTATTGAACCACTTGAAGTATCGTAAATAATTTGTAGATACCTGCTACAGACCCAAAAGTATTTGGGATAGAGAGATAATACAAAGAAAGATTTGGTGATACTTTCGATGTAGAATGAGAGGGAGAGGAAGAAGAAGAGGGGGAGAGAAGGAAGACTTGTATAAAGGTGGGCAAGAATTGGGTAGGAAAAGATCTCGGGTGGGGCAAGTAAAAAGTGGCGGGGTTCCAATTGTAATCTGGAAATTTTTCACTTATTTTTTTGCACCGAGTTAGGTGGCTAGGCAACTATAGTTCATGCCTTAAAAGGGGTTGGTGCCCTAGTTGAGGTTTTGGAATGAGATTGAATAGCATCCACCGACCAATTGTAAGCAAGATTGTAATTCAAATAATTTAATTCATCCCATTTATGAAGGGTGATGAAACAGAGTGAATACCCATATGGAGGTGTACGGTATGTGGTATTCTTTCTCTCTGTTATAATTGGTTCATTCTATTGTAAGTGTATTAGTAAAG